CCAGCAGCGAGGCGTCTGGCGGCGGCATCCCCAGCAGCAGTTCCCTGCAGCGGAAGAAGCTCATCTCTGTCTGCGACCACTGCAAGATCAAGATGCAACTGGTGGCTGATCTGCTGCTGCTGTCGAGCGAGACCAGGCCGGTGAACACGGAGAGCCTCTCTGTCTTCGGTGAGTCCTTCGAGAAGTGCAGGGACACGATCATTGCCAGGACCAAAGGACTCTCCATCCTGACCCATGACGTCCAGAGCCAGCTCAACATGGGACGCTTCGGGGAGGTGGGGGAAAGCCTGATGGAGATGGGGGAGCTGGTGGTCTCCCTGACCGAATGCTCCGCGCACGCTGCCTACCTGGCTGCGGTGGAGACTCCGGGGGCCCAGCCTGCCATGCCTGGCTTGGTGGATCGCTACAAGGTGACCCGATGTAGGCATGAGGTGGAGCACGGCTGCGGGGTCTTGAAGACCACCCCTTTGGCAGATATGAGCCCTCAGCTCCTGCTGGAGGTTTCTCAGAACATGTCCAAGAACTTGAAATTCCTGACGGATGCCTGCGTGCTGGCCAGTGAGAAGTCCAAGGATAAATTTGCTAAGGAGCAGTTCAAACTCAGTGTCAAATGTATGAGCACCAGCGCCTCTGCCCTCTTGGCATGCGTCAAGGAGGTCAAGACTTCACCCAGCGAGCTGACCAGGAACCGATGCGTCTTGTTCAGCGGACCTTTGGTGCAGTCTGTCTACGCTCTGGTGGGCTTTGCCACTGAGCCCCAGTTTTTGGGTAAAGCTGCCACCATTAATCCAGAGGGCAAAGCTGTGCAAACTGCCATCCTAGGAGGAGCCATGAGTGTGGTATCTGCTTGTGTGCTCCTGACCCAATGCCTCAGGGATATAGCCCAACACCCCGAAAGTAGCACCAAAATGAGCGAATACAGGGAAAGGTTGAGGAACTCAGCTTGCGCTGTCTCAGATGGTTGCAACCTGTTATCTCAGGCACTAAGAGAAAGATCTTCACCCAGGACTTTACCGCCAGTGAACTCCAATTCTGTGAATTAACCCCCGTATCTTCTGTTTAGATCCCAGTCATTGCTAAAGGAAAATAATATCCCACCTCCTCTCCCCTGTTTTTGTATACCAAAGAATTTGCTTGGGTGAGCCCCATCCTTTGATTTCATGTGGTGAAGCAGCAGAACGTATTCAAACTATACGTAGCCAGTTTGGGCTCCTTTTTATTTTACTTTAAATTCAAGAAAGTATCTGCAGATAAATTTTCCTTTATTCAACAAGGTCTTCACACAAATGGTAATAACTGTTTAAGAGGTTTTTTTATATGTGGGAGGTGGGGGTATCTTTAAAAAAAAAAAAAGGAGGAAAAAAAAAAGCTTTAATCGCGCTGGGTGCGGTTTTTAAAGTTTGTCTTGTCTTGTCTTCCGAAACTTCCCTTCTAAATTTTACTGTTCGGTTGTGCAGGAAAAAGGTTACCTCAGTTCTCACTCATTTAAAAAAAATGAAAAAAACCCAACAACACATAGATGATGGATGTAGCTACTATTTTGTTTGGTTTTGTTTTGTATGACTTTTTTTTTTTTTAATTTTGCATCAAGTGTTAGGTTAGAAGTGCATTTGGTGTGTAGGAGTGGAAGGACTGGAGGTTGTGATGATGTTTTCCATGTGTTGATTTCCAAACTGGGGGAAAAGCTACTGTGAGTGTTTAAACAAACAAACAAATTACACTATAACAAAAGTGATTTTTAATTTTTTTTTTTCCAATGTCAGTTTTTATCTTGCATGTACTGGAGTATTTATTTCATCTATTAAAATGTTATGTTTCTCAGATGCCTTTCTGTGAATCTCTTAATACTTGACCAGCTAGGCCTGTTTGCATTGTATGTCATTTTCCCCAGGGAATGGGTGGTACGAATGTAACTGTAGTTCTAGACAGCAGCATACAGGCTGCAGTTCAGTTCCTTTATTTTTATAAATACCGTCCCTCCCGCAGTACCACCCCTCCTCCTCAGGACGCCTCTGACAGAGATGCTCTGTAGTTGCATTTGTGGAAGGCTGGACAGTGCTGCCGGCGCCGGGGTTGCTGGAGCTGCAGAGTGCCGGCGCTTGCTGCGGCGGGGCTTGGGCTGTGCCGGCGCTCTGCGTTACTGGGAAGTTGGTGTGTTTTAACTCTTGCGGATGTGGGCCATCTCTGTTAAACTGGTGAGCTTCCATATGCATTTATTAGGGATTTCTTGGAAATCTTTACCTCGGAGAGCCCTGCTTGTTCCGTGTGTCTGCTTAGGGTTGCTGGACCGGGCCCTTGGACTCCGCGGGGGTCTGTGTTGGAGGCCTCGCGGCAGGTTGCTGTCAGAGCAGTTCTCGTGTGGTGTTGCAGGTAACGGGGAAAGTTACTCGGTCCGCTCTGGCTTAATTCCTTGGGAGCTGTGAGGGGGCCTTAGGGTACGCTGCAGTACTTGCCACGACTGCAGTGATGATCTCTCAGCCTGGTCTGTGGACCTGTGGGGTCTGTTGCCTTCTGTAGTCGTTCCATGAGCAGGTCGCCTGGCAGGGAGGCTTTGTTCGTCTGCCCAGCTCCATCGCAGCACTGGATTGGGTTTTTTTTAATAGGTATGCAAATCAACCACAGTTAAAAGCTGTTGGAGAATGTACCTTAAAAATGTTGTTACCATGGTTGAAGCCCTTACTGTACAAGTACTGTCCTATTTATTCCTTTGAAGAAGTGAACCTTTGGGGTTTGGATATGGAACAGTCCTGGAGCAGTGAAAGGCCTTCCTTTTATAGCATTATTGTTTCTCTTGCACATGATGCTTTTACTTCATTTCAAAGGGGACTGAAATATTCCTGTGTAGTGGACAAATAACATCCTATTGAAGGTGATACAAGCTAAGCTTATATATCCTTATCTTCAGGGTTAGAATAAAATAATTCCTTATTACAGTGGACCCCAGTACCAGGTTTTGTTTATTTTTAAATGAAACTTTCCTAAGTAGGGTGAGTTGTATGATTAGGACTTTGTGAAAAGTCAGTCCAAGCTGCATTGCTCTGGGGTATGATTTTCTCACTGCCTTGCCTCCGGTGCAGCGTAACCCCATCCGTACCTGCTGCAGAGGCATGGATGTCCGCATCTGTGCGGCGTAGCGTAAAGTCCTCTCACTGGTTTTTTGTGAATGAATAAATACATAAGCGTGCTGTTCTAACTTTGCGTTAGGTGCCTCCTCAGGTATTTCCTTGGAGGCTCTCACACGTGTGTGCACACACGTGTTCCCATCTGGATGGCAGGAACAGCTGTGGGACCCCGGAGGGATTCATAGGAGGCCAAGGCTGTCTACAGGGAGGTCCTGTGTCTGGTGATCTGCTCGACTATCCTTTATGCCTCCCTCCCTTGCAGCACGGGAGCCGAGATACCGGCCCAATCTACCCTTCCTTCTTTCCCGCAGTTGCGCTGAGGGGAAGGAGGAAAAAGGGATTGTAGCAGACGTAATGCTTTCAGGATGTGCTATCTTCTGTGGCTGCAGACAGGAGGCGAGGAACTGGCTCCACCCTTCCTTTGCGTGGATCCTAGATGGCTCGGAGCTTAGTGCGGGACGTGCAGGGGGCACAGGTACCGGGGCGCCATCCTTCGGCTCGGGTTCTTTTAAGTGACTGTGACCCACACCTGTGAGGCCAGCTTCCAGTACAACCCAGAGGGTTCTGAGGGGCAGCTCTGCAGCACGTCTGACAAAAAGTAACATCCCACCGGCTCTTTTGATGTTTCTACTTAATGAGTTCGTCAAGGCCAAAACCAATTAGATTCTTTTTGATTCATTTATCCGTTATCGGGGTTATATGGATCACAGTGCAGCTTCCTTATTACCTCTGCACATGAAAGGCGATAAGTTATTAGTGATGATAGTGCTGGTTTTTGTTGTGGTAAAATTTTGTTTTAAGTGGTTTAGTGCAATTTTTGCTTTAGCAAGGAAACTGCAGATTCATTTCTGGTTATATCTTGAAGTACCTGCGTGTATCTATAAATAAGTATGTATCTTCTATTATAACACTGAAGGAAAACAAACTGCTGTAGATCTCCCTTTGCTTTTGAGGTGTGTGGGGTTTTGGGGGGATTCAGTTTTATAGAATAATATGTGAAATGTAGCCAGGCCATGATTTTAGTTAGCAGGCTGATTAAAAAAATTATAATACGTATATATATACACAGATTCACAAAGAGTAAATTTACTAAAGTAGCTTACTGTAACATTTTAAAAGAAAGGTAATTTTAACACTTTAAAATGTTCAACTGTTTCTTTCCAGAGTAGAACTCGCACAAAGGGAGCCATGTGTGCCCAGGCCTGTGCTCAAGAGAGTATATGTCAAAATCAGTGCTATCCATATAATTAGCGCAGCAAAGTGTTTTGGTTTGTTTGTTTTTTTAAAAGATTTTAATGCAAACAAGTTTTTATGCACTGAGTAAATGACTGACAGGAAAAAGTCTGTGTACACACATCTCCACATTGTGGCATTTCCTGAGCTGAAAACGTGTGTTTCCACTACTAAGTGTGAATTTTAAATGCCACATTTAGAAAGACTTAATGTACACTGTGACAATTTATGTGGATTGTATACCCCCAGAATATTAATTCTGATATAAGGCATTGTTTCAGGAGGTCTATTCCTGTTGTTCCTTTACTTTGTACTTTCTGGGACAGAAAAAGTACATGATGGATTAGTTTTCAGGTTGCAGTTGCAGGCCACATCGAGGTCACTGATTATCACTTGGCGTCATAAGTTAAGCCCTTGTCACCCAAACGCTTGCGCCATTTAGGTCAGCAGGTAATGTCACTGTTTCAATGTGGGCTCAGGCAGGCATGAGGTGTGGTTTCTGGCCTGGAACCTTTTGACAAAAGAAAACTTAAGTGTTTCAGGGTGCTCATCACCTATGTCATAGATCTACTCTAATAGCGCCTTTTATTAAAGGGTTAATTTATTTCTGAACACATTATGCAATGCATGTTTGTAGCCAAAAATAACACTATCCCCACCAAAAGAGAATTAAGCTTATTTTTTAACTGTAAGAATTTTTTAACAGGGAAGAAGTTGTCACTTATGTATTGTCTGTGAATTTGCTATTACCTTTTGGTTGCTGCTTCATTATAGTGAAGTTCGTTATTGGTTCAATACAGCAGTTGTGTCTTGGAATTTGGGGTGGGAGCAATGTGTTTTCTGATTCTAAAAATCATTAAGTTCTGTAAGACAACCAGTAAACTAGGAGCAAAATGCTATTTAAAAGCAAGTACACTGTTTAAGGGAATTTGCAAATGTAAATCCATGTTATTTTTCAAAACTAAGGAGAAAAAAAAAAAAAGAAAAAGACCATGGGTCAGATAATTCCCTTCACTTTTTACCACAGGAAATGATCAAAGTAGCAGAAAATCTGCTCTTTTTGGCCAAACTTCTGTCAGAGACAGAAGGGGTCGAGCCAACACATGGTGTACGCAGCCTTGCAGCACGAGGGGATGTGGCTGATGGGAAAGGAGGTGGAACCCGAGAAGATCAGTAGGGTAATACCTCCTATTAAACCCACAGGAATGTTCCTGTTCGAGATAAAACAGAGGCTGATCCAATAAAGCAAATCTCAAACAACGCAACCTTTCATTCCAGGCTGTTAGATGCGTGTGAATGAAGGTGTGGGGTAGGAGCAGCTGGGATGCGCTGCGTCTGGCAGCTGTATCGCCGTAGGGTACCAAGGGCCTCTGGGTTGCCCTAAGATACATATGTAAGAAGCACAGGCAAAAACGTGTACGTGCCACAACAGTCTGGTGGGAAATGAAGAGGTTTTGAGGGTTTTTTTTCTTTCTTTCGTCCCTATCAGGCTCCTTCTAGACTTTACAAGCAGAAGCAGATGGTTGGGGACCGGTACGTTTTAGTTCTTTGTTCCTGCTGCCTGTGAAAGGTGCCATATGGGCAAGGATAAAGATAGAAACTCTCTTTCTGGAGCTCGGAGATAGCGAAAGCGCAGGACTTCAAGGTTGCCTTATCCTCACAGGACCATAGCAACGTGGGGTATTTTTGGACTCTCTGACTTTTTGACCAGAAAATCCTAGTGGCAACTTGACAGGGGCATCAGGACCATTAAAATATTCCACGTAGGACACCAAGCCGCTGCCAGGTTTGGGTCATTCACAGACGGACCAAAAAATTACAGGCTGGCTGTGAAGTAGGCCACACCCTTTGTATGAATAACCTGGAAAATTAAATACTGTGTACTCGGGGAGGTGTTTATTTACTTGGGAATTATGAATTATTATATAAAAGTGGTTCAAAGGTGTATTTAATTAACATAATTAGCAGTAGTGTTCTGATTCATCTTCTTAATGAAGACTGACATCTATGGATGCGAAGGGCCTCATCCATGACTCAAAGAAGCCTGTGTAATATTAGTATTTTCCACAGACCATGTGAAAATGGGAGGGTCATCATGTGTTGCAAAGCGAGGAATCATGTATTGATTTTCATTAGTCTGAATCTTTTCCTAGAACCGTTTTTGTTGTACTAGAGTCCTTTGAACCTAAGAGGGTTTTTTTGGTTTGTTTTATTTTGGAACCACACAGTGTATGATGCTGTATTCCAACAAAGTCAAAAGCAGCACTTAGGGATTCCTGGGGTCTTTTGTCAGTTTGCCAGACTCTTGTTCCTGTTCTAACTTAATTTTTTATAATTTCCTTTTATGTTAATAAAGGATGCTTGTGGCTGTAAAAGTTGAAGTTGTCTTACTCCATAGACAGCCTGGATCTTATGTAGATACTATTTAGATTATTTAGAAATCCTGCTGGTTGCCAGATGGAGCTC